GGGCATAGGGTCTTCTATGTCTGTTTTTGATCTTTTTAGATAAATACACTGTACATATTAACTGATCCTCATCAACAGGTTGGTAGAGGGCAGTGATCTTCTGCAATATAATGTTCTGATTATTATTATTTTTTTTACCTGTGTTTATGTATTTTAATACCAATGAAAGCTAATCTTATTCAGACTGCTTTTGTGTATTTAGACAGCGCACCTGGCAGAAAACCACTTCTTTAACAAAGTAAAACCATTTATTCAGTCATGCATAAGCAGTTGGGTTTTCACCAGATGTGTGTACAGTTGTATGTTGAAGCTTAAATTTTTTGTCAGATCAGTTTTTTCCCAAGTTGAGTGACCTAAACTAAATGCTGCTCATATCTGAGAAAGGCTTCTGTTCATTCTACTGAAACTGTAGGTTATTTATCAGGGATATGTGAAAGCTTGTATAAAAACAGTGAGAAGGATATGGCTGTTGAGTGTATCATTTAGTCTTTTGTCTATTTATTGTTATAAAAGTCTGCCTTTTTTTTCTCTCGTGTTCGAGTTTGAACCATACCTGCTGCAGGCAGTGTCTGTATATTTTGTTCTATTACCGGTAAGTGAACTATTGAAGTAACATACTTTAATCAAACAGAACATTTACAACTTGAGAAGGCAGGAGTTCAATGTTGCTAGAGCACATGTGGTCCCCTCTTTAACCCGTCTTTGGAGTATGTGATTGTGGTGCTTCCCTTTTTCCATCACGTCAAAACTACCAATAGTTTCATTTGCTGTTCTTTGTAAACAAATATTCTTTATTGATCCAGCAGATGTTGTAACATGCAGAATAAAATGATCCAAGTTGAACTCTTTACATGGTTCTGTGTAGTCTTTTTATAGTATGACTATACACAGCATAGAATAATATATACATTTGATTAATTTGATATCAGTTTTTGAACTTTGTAAATGAGAAGCAGTACTTCGCACAATGAGGAGAACATGACAAATACATTGCAAAATATATTAAAAACCAAAACTATTTGCAGATCATGTTCCTCGGGTTGTCCTCCATTTAGTCGGTGCCAAAGTACCTCTGTCCGAAATGTGTTGGAGCCACCGGGTGGACTTCTGTGGTCAGAATTGTGATATCTGGGAACTCCTGGATTATAGATTTTGCTCCTAGAAGAAAAATGTACAGTTGGTTCACTTTCTGTCTGAAATCTAAGCCACTGATGTGCTGAATTAACAAAAGCAACTAGCAGCCAAAACCTGAAGCTTTTCTGAGGTAAGACTGCTATGCAATGCCAGTTCATGACCAGGATGGAAAAAAGCAACCATCTTATTTCCCACCATCTTCAGCTGTACCGTGGTGATGTTAAGCACAGCTCAGGTAAGCTGATAAAGGGGCCTAAAGCTTAAGAAGCAACAACACTGACATATCCTCACTTTTTAGGTTTATACAGCAAACATTAAAAAGTAGATGCATATTTACATGTTCACCTGTTCCAAAACAAAATTATTATTATCTGGCATTTGGCACTGTTTTTGTTTCTACCAACCCCCGAGGGGAATAATCTACCTTTAAGTCCACTATGTTCATCAGCTACTCCACTTGCTACCTACTGTGGCTTTTAAGTGCTTTTTTATTAAAGGCAGTTGTCTGCTGTAGCTGCAAATGGATTGAGAATGAACAAACACTAAATAATGAACTGAAACTCACTATAAAGTACTGACTAAGCAGAGCTGCAGGGGATCCTGTCAGTTCATTACAACTCCTTTAGCACTGTCAGATACACTGTTAGTATAAAAAAATACTAATTATAGATTATTAAAAATAATGTAATGGTAACACACAATGGTCTCATTCCACATGACAATAAGATTACCAACATTGGTGTCCAGGAATCACTTGAATCATCTACTTTATTATTAGGTACATTTTGCTAGTATTAAGTTGGAGCCGCTTTTGCATAAGGTGCTGGAAAAATTCATCAGAGATTGGAGTACAGCTAACTCACTATCACTGTCTCTAACCAGCTTGAGATGACTTGAGCTTTGAGCTCCTGCTGTGTTATCCTGCTGGAAGCAGCCACCAGAACATGTGCACACTGCGCTTATAAATGGATGGAAAATGCTGACACTACCATCCAAATGTCGCTGCAAAAATAGAGACATTAGACCAGGTGATGTTTTTCTCAGACTTCTATTATCCATTTTTTGTGAACTTGTGTGAACTGTAGCCTCTGTTTTCTGTCCTTAGCAGACAGGAGTGGCACCCAGTGTGGTCTTCTGCTGCTGTAGCCTATCTGCTACAAGTTTTGATGTGTTGCACATTCAAAGATGCTCTTCTGCATACCTTGGTTCTAAAATGTCTTTTTTTTTTGAGTTGGTGGTTCCTTCCTCTCAGCTTAAAGCAGTCTAACTTTTGACATCAACAAGGCATTTTAACCCATAGAACGCCTGCTGACTGGATTTATTACCTTTTTAGAACATTCTCTGAAACTCTAGAGATGATCGTGTGGGAAAATCCCAATAGATCAGCAATTTCTAAAACACTTAGACCAACCTCCTTGACACCAACAACCATGGAATGTTCACTTACATCACCTTTCTTGCCCAACTTGACATTTCTACATGAATTGGGTTGGTGACGTGATTAGCTGATTACATACTCGTGCCTGTGAGTTGAGCACCTGTAACTAATAAAGCGGCCACTTCTGTATATAGTGTAGACCAGGGTTTGATTACATGGTAAAAGGAAATGTCTTTAAAAAGGCTTCATCCCCTTCAGAGGATTAAATAGCTTTTTATATTTTAATGGCAACATGTGCTTAATATATCAACGTTTCATATATTTAAGTGGAATAAATCCATTAAACATCAAAACAATCTGGCCCAAGCTAAAGTAGAGAAAACTATAAATGTGCAGAAGTTACCATAGTTTACTGATGACTGCTGAGCAAGACTTCAGATCAGCAGCGCCACAGAACCTCATTGTTGTTGGCAACAGTATTTTTTATATAGACACTGATGCAGCAGAAACATGAGTGGAGGAGCAATAGAGGACAAAGTGTGTGATCTGGGAGGTAAACAAAACCGAGCTGGCGGCGACTGCACTTGTGTTGAGCTGTCTGGCTTACCATGAGGTGTGGAGAAGAGGCTGAGTAGGATAATATGTTTGGGTTGGACCCTGTGCTCTTTCAGCACCCTCACAGCCTCAATCACGGTGTTCCCTGTACCTGCAGACACAGAACAAATAAGGTTTGCTTCACATTCCTGCTTATTTGCTGACTCATCTCAAGAATATGTGACAAGTCGTAACAGATTCCAGACACAAACTACATAATTGCATTTTTCCCAATTCAAATATATCCAACTCATGCATTATGAGCATCTTAAAAGGAAAGGAAAGTGATTGTGTGCTGATTGATGTGCCCATGAGTCTGGACAATTGACAGGCTTTAATTTCACATCCAGTTAGCATGCATCAATGAAACCATATGTTCCATCATTCTGACATTATAAAATATACCTTGAGCCTAGATTGGTCACTTTTTTTTTTTTTAAAGCTGAGAACAGAAAAATGCTGCTTTGTGACACAGGGAAACCGGGGCTATTAAGATACTATTTTTGTTGGCACTCATTATGTTATTCAGCAGCCTGGTGGCTATCTCCCAGGCAATGTATAATTAGCCCCATGAGAACTATAATTATCAGAGCAGTGTGAATGGGTCGGCATGATGTGGAAATGCAGACTTGGTGGTGAAGGTCAACTCAAGGGAGATTTTCCAAAATGAATAAATACAAAAAACTTTTTTTTCTTTTTACACTTGCACAGAATTGAACATCTCTTGACATTTATGTGCTACTGAAGGTGACAAACTGGAGTCACCAGCAAGAAAAAACGAGCTCAGCCATCTTGTTACTTACTGAGAATGGGGTACATGAGCAGCACTTTTCTTCTATACACATCTGGGGGGAACTTGGCATAGTAGACCTTGGCTTTCTGCGTCTCTTCGTCACTCTGTATGAGGATCTTGCCAATGCGGATAGAGCGGCAGCAATCACGGAGACCCTGCTCCATGGCTTCGCCTGTGAGAAAGCACGTGAAATGCAACTGTGGTTGAAAGGTTACACAAATATATTTGTTGCTTAGGGTTAGTGTTGTCTTCATCAGCGGGGATTTCCAGCAGACCTGCACCTACATGTGTGTTGCGTCTCATTTCTCCAGTAAGACACGCTCACGCCATATCGGTTTGTTTGAAATTACAAGAATAATTATCAGCAGCGCTAATCATAAAAATACATTCCGGATTTTCCTAAACCCAAAGTCACCTAAAAATATTAAAGAAATATAAAGACATGGCTGGTGCCATTTAAAAAACAAGCAAACAAACAATGCTATATACAAATGCAGAATTGCCCGCTTTCCTCCACAACCACATAGAAAAGTTCACACACTGGTCACACTGTAAAGCATTCAGTCTTCATTACATTACAGCGCTCTACCATGACATGCTCAAAGTCAACCCACGAGGCTGTCAAGACATGACTGTGGTATGGAAAACAATAGAACCGGTGTTTTGACTTAGCTGATGTGTTACCTTTAAGGTACAGTGTTTGAGTTTTATACTTCCTTTGTTTTATTCTAGCATGACTGTCAAGAAGGCAAAACAGGCTTTGCAGACAGCTATGGTAACAGTCTCATTAAACCAAAAGGATAGATAACAAGTGTCACTTCTGGTTGTGTGGTCTGCTGACAGCGAAGCCTTCAGAGACTGTGCTCTCTACAAAACTAAAGACAAATAGCTGTCTCAAATGCCTAACATAACATTTACACAACTTAGTATTCAAACAAGAGAGAAGTCTATGATCCAGCGCAAATGATAACCGAGCAAGAGCAAAACAGATGCACAGTATGAGTACACGGTTGCATGGAAGACTTATGTGTACCTAGGAAAGACACAAATTTGTTTTGATAGGTGTGCTAGAGAAGGTTTAACTTACCACTCCTCATAATGCTGACTCCACAGTTGCCTCTTTCAAACTTGACACCCTCATACTTGTACCCTGAGGGAAAAAATGAAGCAGAAACAGTCACAAAATGTAGCTGTTCAGAAAAAGCCCACACAGTCATATAATGCTGGGAGTTAAAACACTCAAACACTGGAGCCCACTGGTCAGAATTCAGAACTCTGTTTTTGTCTAACCTAGTCTTTACACCTGAATAACGACTTTGTTATTACAGAGAGATCCTCCTCACCTGTCGGTGTGGTCACTGTGCACTCAGAGTAGGGGAGCTGGTTCAAGCCCTCTTCAACTACAAGCCTGATCTGGTTTTTTACAACACAAACAGACTTTATTTATAAAATCTTCACACTCTTACAGCATACTGTATTAAAGTCATGATCTTACCAGTCGGTCCGCACAAAACACAAAATCTCCTCTGCTGGTTGTCCTGAAAATGTAAATATGAGTTTGATTAGATCATTTTAGATCAGGGGTTGGCAAACTTTTACTATGAAAAGGGTCATTTTCAAGCAATTCTTAACCTGTAAAGAACATCTGATATTTGCAATGCCTATTTATTTAAGCCATTTGTTATACAGTCATGTGAAAAAGTAAGTTTCCCCATGACAATATGTACTTCTTTGAAAACTTAAAGGATACCCCATGATTCAATAGTTTATTATTTAGCAGTAATTGTTTTCTGTATGGCGTTTTAAGTCTCTCACATCATTGTGGAGGAATTGTGGCTCACTTGTGGCGCACTTACAGTGCTATTTGTTCATTGAGGTTTGCAGGCATTCGTATATGCACAATATTTTTAAGGTCCTGCCACAGAATTTAATTAAGGCTGAGGTCTGGACTTTGACTGGACTGCTGCAACATCTTTATTCTTCTCTTTTTCAGTCATTCTGTTGGAGATCATTGTCCTGTTGTGTGACTTCAAGCTTTAGCCCATGGCCTGACATTTCACTGTAAAATACTTTGGCATATGGTCGACTAAGTGACTGCAATATGCTTAGGTATATAGCTGCAAAATAAGCTTAAATCATCACCCCTCCTCCACCATGCTTTACAGCTGGTATGAGGTATTTGTGCTGATGTGCTGTGTTTTGTTTTTCGGAAACGTGAACCCTGGCCCAACATTTTGTGGTTTGTTCAGATCAACTTTGAAACAACCCCCTCTGCTAGGTTATTTTTAAAGAGAAGATGTATTCTCCTGGCAACCCTTCCAAACAAACCAGACTTGTTCAGTCTTTTTCTGATTGTACTGTCATGAGTTTTATCATGCTAACTGAGGCCTGTAGAGACTGAGATGCAGCTCTTGGGAGTTTTTACAGATTATCTGAGCATTGCATGGTTGTTAACACACACCTGAATGCTCCAGACCAGCAAATTGCCAAAATGTCTGCTTTTACAAAGATCCTGACAGTTGATGATGATCAGACTATCAGCACTGCATAGTCCTGTGGAAACTCTTTTTTACATGACTGTATGCATGTCATTTTTTAATTCTTATCATGTGTTAATGAAGAAGGCACCAACTATTATTTGGATGTTTGCCCATCAAAATACCAATAACAGTAAAAATGCAAATCTTTTACTACATGTGACTACTTTAAAGTGGGCTATTCATAATTAGTATTTTAACTTTTCGTTTTCATTACAATAATATCATTTTTGTTGCATTTATAGTTCCTAATGATCTATTTTTTAAGATACATGCGTCTCTGAGCTGGTTGATACTCAGCACTGCTCTTATTCAAATAATCTTATTACTGCTTCAATTTCATCTCTTTTTGTGTGAACAGACGACAACTATTCCTGTTTGTATCAGGTAAAGTAATACAAGGTTATAACTACACAAGACATCTTAACAACTGTAAGATATGTTGGTTCTTTTGATACAATAAATTATTCTCTCCTTGAAAGGCTTAAAAAAATGTTGTAGCTGAACCTGTTATGATAGTTACTATGACGTTTCCTTGAAGAAGCA